GCGTGACCTTGGTGGCGGGATTTTTCGGGAGGCCACCAATCCTTGAATAATTTTTCCAACTTCCCGTCCTCTCGGTTTTTGATTATCCGACAACAAGTAGACGATTCATCATGGACGATTCCAGTATGGAAAACATCCTCACATATTGAGTGTACATGTTAATTGATTGTTACTGGAACTGATGGTTGAACGGACTCTGCAATTTGTGGCATGTCTACAGTGCGGAACTGAGTGTATCATCGCCATTTCCATGCGCTAGCGTAGAGTGGAAAACATCATACGACGTATGGCAACCTCCTTCTGCTCATAAATTTAGTTTGAGTTAAAGGTAGGTCAGGGAATCAAGGTTAACAGTCTATCCAACTGCCGCTGTCTCATAAGACTGGCAGTCAAATCCGCTTACATGTAAACTTGATGGGTGCATACATTTCTGAGCGTGATCTATGTGTGACCGCGTGCATTGCTCTCAAATACTTATGATGAATAGCATTTCAGTATCATTCACGTGACAGTCATGTTAGTTTGAATACCAAGTAAACAACCGAACCGAATCGAACTATATTCTGTTTCTAAGACGCATCACTTATATTGTAGCAGTTTTCTGGGCAGCACATCATTCGAGTGATGTCAACAACAGATACTGGAGTTTCTCGAGAAATACACTCCTTCGCAAATCAATTTGGTTTTCACGAGAGACTTAACTGAATCTCCCGTTCATAATGTTCTACAACTGAATGTGCTGCACACAAGCCGCCCCATGTTTCAGTTGGCTCGCGGTATATCTTCATAAAGGAAACTACTCACAAGGTTGCTGAAAACTCTTCAACAGCCCACCACCGGTTTCGCCCTCCTTGGGCTCATCAGGTAGGCGCAGTCCCCGAGTTTGTCAACCTTATGTTCTACTTTAACCCAAATTGGACTGTTTTTCGAGAAATACACTCATTTGCAAATTGATTTGGCGGCCGAAGAGTTTTCAGCAACCGTGTGAGTAGTTTCTTTTATGAAGATACAGGAATTCTTCTTACCTGATTCCCAAGCTTCCTAACCCCTCAGGCAGTTGGTGTTTACTTTCATTAAAAAATGAATTCCACTTACTAAGTTTCTCACCCTCCTCCGCAATTCTTTCAAAATTTTATGCGTAGGCGATCCTGAAAGTGGTACACTGTGTCATTTGATTTTTATCCGTAAACTGATACGATTATCCGTCTCAGTGCATTCACTGTTCACCATTCCTTTCATGATTTATTGAAAACTATTTTTCTCAATGGCTTCCTTGGTAACGCTTGCTATCCGCAGAAAGACCAGGTCATGATAATAAAAATACCAGTCAGACCGTGCGGGAAGCTGGCGACTTGCACCAAATAAAAAAACGAGGGACACGAAATACTAAAGATAGTTGAATCTGGATTTTTAGTTGGGATTTAATCCTATAAGTGAAATTAATCTTTGCTGAAAATCCAGTAAGCACTGTGAGCTGTTTCATCTTTATTGAGTGTCATAAGCACTGGGAACCTCACGATACTCTAGTGAGTTTAGATCCAATAACCTCCCTGTAAGTAGCAAAACCCCAAAGCTTTCGCCACAAGAGGCTGAGCAGCAGTGTGGTTCAACTGTACCTACACTGTTTATAGCGGCAATGATCCCTCAGTCACTAATTCACGTCAGGTGATCAACAGTTGACTGCCTGCTCGAGTGATGACCTCTAAGATGGATGTTTCACGCTCTTTGTGGAATTATCCTGCCTCTGATCTGCCTATAGGTTGTTGACAATCGGGATATTAAAGTTTTAAATTCTCCGAAAAGACCACAACACGTGTCCACGTGATGTGGTCGCTGTGACTGAAGGATGAGCGGCGCTATGTTCTGTCTAAGTGAGACACAATCATGCTGTTGTTCAGCCGCTCGTGACCGAACGGTGAATTGTTATAGCACTGACTGGAATATCGCGGATTCATAGCTCCCGGATCTTCAGCATAGACTGGCTTCGCTGACAGGAGAAAAAAATTACCGAATCTTCTGGCACTATCATGACTTGCCAGATCCTATGGTCATTTTATAAAATCAGAACAGTACCCCCTCGAAAGGCTAGCAAGCTTGCAAACTGTCTATTTGATTTGGAGGATGTTGCAGGTTAACGAATATTCTTCATTAATTACATGAAAGCAGCCAACTCAAGCCTAGTGAACGAGGCTGGTCGCAGAAACGAGCCTGAAAAGTGGGAGCAAGTTAAACTGACTTGAGAATTGAGCTGGGTTTGAAGGACAATCTGTGAGTTCATCCGGTCAACTGTTTGTCATGAGGGTGAAGAACAATAGCGAAGATTGAGAATTGGGTATAAAAATAACTGGTCTACTTTAGCTGCTTTGAAATCTGCCCACAATTCACTGTGATTGCTCTTGGAGATTGGGCCATCTCTATACTGTGAGTACCATTCGGTCCAAAACAAAAGTGAGCTTAAAAATTACAAGACCTAGTTCTGCCATCCCTTATCTGGCCTATCTGGAAACAGAGTTTCCCAGTTCCACTTAGACAAATCTTTGTGCTCCATGCGAACGCAACTGGAATACGAGTTGTACCAACCCTTTTCATAGACAGTCAGAAAAATGCTTTTTTTATTCAAATGACTGATCTGACCTTTGTATCTAAGATGTGAAGATATGGCCGAATATATGGGTAAATTGTAACTACTTACAGACAGTGGCGAAATATATTGTTTTCAAGAAGGATTGCGTAGGCTGACTGAACGGTAACACACTTGTTATAGTAAGGCATAACTACTTGAATATACACCAGTAGTGAAAATAAAACGCGTTTCCGGAATTTTCAATAGGAAGTGTAGCTCTATAGTAAGGATATTGTAAGCCCTTCGGGCGAATTCCACAGAGACATGAGAACTGCATTCAATTTACAGAACAGTGTTGACAAAAAATAATAATCACACTGATTTCAACCGAATCCAAATAATCGGAAGCCAAATCTTTATTATAAACAAAGTAAACTCTGTCTCGTGAAAACCTAATTGATTTGCAAATGAGTGTATTTCTCGAAAAACAGTCCAGTTTGGGTTCAAGTAGAACATAAGGTTGACAGAAACTCGGGGACTGCGCCTACCTGATGAGCCCAAGAAGGACGAAACCGGTCGTGTGCTGTTGAAGAGTTTTCATCCAACTTGTGAGTAGTTTCCTTTATGAAAATAAACTCAGGTACGTTAATTGCTCGGTGGGTATTTGGTACCTTCTGCTTAACTGTTCCATCTGTTGCCTCAGGATGTGAAATGATGCCTTTTTGCTGACAAAATGCTATTGTATGCGAATTCTACGCATGCTCTAGTGACCTCGACTGGCAGAAGTCTTCTGTTTCACAAACAATTCGAAGGGAGTTGCTTTGCAAAACTGAATATTTTCATATGTATTGCATTTTTCAACAACAGAGCAAATAATTTGACCCAAAAGACTACTAATGTTTTGGTGTATGTTTCAGTTTTTACAGAACCCGAGTGTGTTTGTCACAAAAAAGTCGTCTTTCATACTCATTGTGATTACGCGTAAATTTTTCACCCATAAGAATAATCACCATCAGTTTGAAGGCTACGATCGCGTCGGGGAAACAGACCTGGCACACACCACCAGTAATGATGTCCAAATATTGGTTGTTAGACAAAATGGATTTCACATACAAATACACCGAGAAAGCTGAACTCGTTTTACACCACTTATTCCGCCCTGAGATCCTATTCAGGCCATTTTCAATGTATTTATTTGTGCGAGAACAATCTTTGACTACCTATGATCTCGGTCTCTGGGCGGAAACGATCACCAAAGCATCGCTTCAAGAGTGATATACTTCAATGCCCAATAAAAAAAACGAAAGTGTTACCCCATAAGGTAGGATTCCTATATCTTTGCGTGATGCAGGGCTGGTTCAAACATTACCAAGTCTAGTTCCTCCAAAAGATCAGTTCGATATGCGAATCCCTTGACGTTTATGTTAAGACGATATGAACCTGGCCAGAGCAGGAATCGTCCTACTGCGATATACGCAAGAGCCAGGTACTTGTATGCAACAACCTAACACAGGACAAAGGGTGGTATCACTGTAGAACAGTGTCATCCACCTCTGAAGGACGAAAAACTGGTCTTTGTTCGTGAGTGATTAGTATATATCGATGGAGGCTTCCACATGAACTATGTGCGTGATTTCCTATTTTCCATTGTTAATACACTCAAGTTAACAGTTCTGCTGCGCACTTATTGCACAGCGTAACGGCGAGCTTACAAACAGAGACCACTGTTTTTGATAGTCATTATGACAAGCGTCTCGGATCAGCTATGTTCAATCAGTGTGACCCCTAGCGGAGAAAATCATTGCAGTAAAATCAAGCGTTTAAGCACGTGACTTAGTATCTTAGAAAGTTAGTCGGAGACTCAACTAATCAAATGTGATCTTGCCAGCATCACTGTCAACATGGTTCGGATTGCAACTACTGCAGGTGCTGTGAAAGACCATGGTTTGTCAAACTTAGCCCCCATATCGGCTCTCATTTCGCGCTCAGTAGCTGAAGCCATTGGAACTTCAGCGCCGTTTGCCCATGATCACTTTGTGCTTGCGCTGTTCCCATTCATCTGCATAGAACTTATAAGGAGCCGGAACGGGTTTGAAAACCTAAATACAGTTCCTCCTGGACAAGTCCATATGGCCTATGATCAGCATTGCGTTTTGGAAACAGAACTCTACAAAATACACAAGAAATGTGCTCTGGAAGTACGGCAACACAAAGTACTTAGCTCACACTGAACGGCTGTCAGAAGAGTCAAGTGGGAGCATTGAAACGATTTAGTAACAATCCAGACGTAGCCAAAAGTAGGTGCTGCAAGAGGGACTCCTCATATTTGCTCCCATTTGCTTCAGTAAGTACGTCCTTGTGACTGTCCTTGTGAACGGGCGGTCTTTAGGTGGGTGGAGAACTCGCACATGCTGATGAGTAAGTACATCACACTCACCTTACCCATTTTGGCCTGCGAAATAGGCATAGATAATTCTGGGTCTCTCATGGTATATTCAAGCAGGTGACTGTATATGTGGTCAAGTTGAGCTTTCAAGTCACCTTCGCCTTGACTGATGGCCAGAAGTGGACGTGAGCCCAAACGATTGACATCCGGTTGACGTATTTTCTCCGACAACTGCTTGAGCGATTCGCGAACTTCTGCAACGGTCATGTGGCGCGTCTGATCGATACACTGGGTTACGAATGGTAGAACGTCAAGACATGAACTTGGAACAAAACTCTAAGGAGAATGAAAACTGGTGCAACAGACAGCCATATTTGGTTCACAGAAAAAGTCCAAAGGTTGGTTAACTGCATTTAATTTTTTAACGTTGCGGAACCTATTTCTGTGAAGTATAATGCGCTGCTGCTTGGTAACTCGTATAGTAGAAAGGAACCATGTTTGGTTTTGGGTTGGTTGGCCCAACAAGTGACCCAGAACGTTTGTGAACCCGCACTGTCTTACACACTATTTCTTTGTCGTGACGGTTGATGTATCAAATTACAGTGGCATAGTGTCTTTGGTTTTGGGTCGGTTGGCCCACCAAGTGATCCAGAACGTTTGTGAACCCGCACTGTCGTACACACCATTTCTTTGTCGTGACGATTGATGTATCAAATTACAGTGGCATAGTGGTGTGACCTGTTGCACTGCAACAACCCTATAGCAAATTTTTTACTTTGTGATTGCTTACCAGTACTCAACACAACAATGGCCTTTCAGTTGATTGGCTATAGTGAGCCTCCGCGACTCACCTCAAGAAAAACCACGCCGAATGCGAGTATCTTCTATCACAGAACTGCAAGCGGCGAGGCATACATTTCCAGTTTTTCCCATGAGATGTATTTCAAATTGCATTAAATGGATAATAAATGCGAAGATCCGAAACATCTTTCCAGACGAATTGCAGTAATGAATGAGTTCATGATTACTGAGGCCATCAAGAGAACTAGACCAATACGATTCTGGTGCCTTCTCACCTTTCGTCAATGAATTCATATTACGCACATTCTAAAATCCTCGAGAATCTCTTGGATCTGCTACTGTTACACAGGAGCGTGAATCTTTTGTCGGCCTGCAGTAGGGTAACAACCGAATGGATTGACATAGTTTGAAAGACAACAAAATGATGAGAATCTACACTGGTTGGAGGCACTTCTGTTTTGATGCCAAGTTGGGGCTGATTCATTTGTGACTAAACGATAGGAGTGCGGGGCCTATATTCTGAACACTCAAGTAGCATAGCATATCAAAGTTGCATTCTTGCTTCAGCTAACCATGTGTTTGAAACTATAGAGAAATTTTAAGGAGTGTCTACTTTACGCGCTTACGTATTCAACACCACTTCTTCTCTATGAAAGAGGACTTTTTAGGCATCGAACTTGTGGGGCATATCGTTCGAATAATGTTATTTTTTCGCGATATGTCAGCATTACAGATCACCTGGATAAACAAACTGGGCACCACTACCGTCATGGAAATTTCATGTTAGCATACTGGTTGGTGAACTGAGTTCGATTGGTATCTCGCGTCGAAATGTAAAGTTCTTGAGTCGTCACCATCTTATCATTACTTACTGAACACATTGCTTGGATGGTTCTTGGATGGCTCTACAGCGTCCCTTAAAGAAAATACAGTACGATATACAGAACGTCATACTAAGTGAAACATGAAACCGCGTTTGTGTAGCATGCAGCATCCAAGGCCGAAAACATGATAAACAAGAGACTCAGCTGGTATTCCGTTGAGTATCACGTTTACGTTATCTCCATCTACATGTGATAATATTTCGTCGATCTTCCTCCTCTGTATCATCCACTGACCGTTCGCAAAGTGTTTTTGTGTTAGACTGATAGCCGCGTTGTAATATACAATGCTTTGATAGGCCTTAGTCGTCTAATGAGTTTGATACTCGTCGCTTCAAAAGTACATGTAATGTGTCACTGTTCCCTAAACGTCAGATTCAGTGGACAAATACAGTTTACTTACACACGAATAGATGAAACAGACTTACTTGCGTCAAATGTCCAGCAATGGCGGTCAACTGTTGGTGAGTGACAGCATTTTCCAGTCCGGTACTTGGGGCCTGGTATGGCATCTGAATATAGGTTGGTTGTGGAGTTGGATAGTAAGATCCGTAGATGTTTGCCGAATTCTGCGACCGGACATCCCAGTTGAGACCGGGAACTTGACCCCACAGATTGATTTGTGTGCCCGAGTGATTAGTTGCCGCAAAGCCCTGGTCAGCGTTCCCTAAATTTTGAAATTTGAGTGCAGCCGTAAAGGAAAAAATACGCAAAGTGATCCTATGCTACTTAGTCTGGAGTAGAAATGTCATCATTTGCGTTTTAGCTCCGATGATGGCCTATAAGTGAGCGCCGTAAAATCCCAGTGAGTAAGCTGACAGACTACGAATTGCGAAGGCAACAGATGTGTACACCAAATATTGGATACGCTAGACAGAGGACCACCAAGGTTAATGCAGGCACCCCTGGTTTTTCTGAGTTATGCGCAGCTGTGGAAGCCTTATGGCTAAAATCAGAACAAAGTTGTTTGTTCCGTCAATCGTGAAATCAAAGCTGAGAAAACATTTGTGCCCGAAAATCAAATGTAAACGTGAAAAGCACTTATGGTGTTGCAAAGGCAACAAATTCAACACCACAGAAAAAATCGGACTTCTGGAGTGGTCTAAAATATTTTCCAAAAAAAACCCATGTACCAAATGTCAGGAGCTAATGTCACTACCGCTTGTCTAAAATAGCTCTTTTAAGAACATGGATGTCGCATCATAAATGAGAAATTCAGCTGAATTCTAGGTGAATATCCCGTCAGTACCGAATTGGTGTGCAGCACAGTGTATAAGTGAAATGCTTGCTCTTTGTCTGAATATTTATCACTATTTTTTTCGAAAACACAGAACATGTGCGCTGGGTAGTAGGATGTGATTGAGCCAACAAACGGTACGTGGTCTTTCTAACATGCGGACAGAACACGAATGAGATGCCAACTAACCGAAAAAAATTATTTTACTATCGGAATAATTTGACCCTACTAACAACTCGTCGAAAAAAATTAAATATTTTGTTATATGGTTAAACCTCTTTGGAGAGACCATCTCTAAGGACCCACAAAGTTCTTTTCTGTGTAGTAGTCTCTCTGAGGAAGAATCACAAAAATGAAAGAATCCTGGTGGATATGATATGGACTCGTTTTCTGTTAGCATGATCACTCAAAATAGGGATGGAGGCGAGATGGCCCAAGTTGTTAGAGCACGAATTCGCTGACCAAAAGGTTTGAACCCGACCTCTGCCTCTCGACTTCCCCTGTCTAGGCTTGGTCAACCTGGCAGTATCCCAGCCCTCTTGCAGCCTTCGGGTGGCATGGCAGTTAGACACCGAGAGTGCTACAGCTGAACGATTTGTTCAAAATGGAGACAGCTGTAGTCAGTCCCTTCTGACCTTTCACAGCTTGATCAACGGAAAAAGAAGACCCCACCGTGACTCAAGAATTAGAGAAGTACACCAGGGATTTGAGGAGGACAAGCCTAAATACATGATCCTTTCATTTGTCGGTATACAATCTGTGGACGTTGTGTCGTCTACCTGACAAGGTTTGCATATCACAAACCATACTTGCAATAAAGCGACCATTTTAACATCACCTAACAGGGTATCTAATCACCCGGTATTGAAGCATAAAAATGTTGTGACCTTTAATTCACAAGATATCTAGAGCAAAATACTGTCAGAGCTGTCCACTATACGGTCATGAACCCGTATTAAGCTTAGACAAATCGGTGTGCTGCAGTTTTGTTTACCAACAACAGAGGTAACAGGCGACAACAATTTCATGTGCACTATACCTACTCAAACCGAGAGACATTACTACACAAAAACATTGGTAGCTCGAATGAGTTTATTGGTTGTTGATCAAGTGGCTGTTGATCTGTTCGCACAGCTTGACAATTGGCTTGCAAACGTTTCATCACCATACGAGGAGACATCATCAGTGCGCAGTTGGGTGGGTAATTCTTCGTTGCCTGCGTGCGTTCATATAGCATTCGAAGGATAGCTGTTATCTTCTGACGTGATTGGCTAATTGAAGATCACAAACGGACCAATAGATTGACCAAATTCATTACATTTCAAGTAGCCAATCACGTCAGAAGATAACAGCTATCCTTCGAATGCTATATGAACGCACGCAGGCAACGAAGAAGTACCCATCCAACTGCGCACTGATGGTGTCTCCTCGTATGGTGATGAAACGTTTGCAAGCCAATTGTCAGTCAAGCCGAACAGATCAACAGCCACTTGATCAACAACCAATAAACAAAACAGCAACAGTAGGCCCGCGATCACACAGCCAGCTAGGGCTCAAAGTAATTTATGAATTTAAACTTGCTTTCTCTTTGCTGGGGAAGGAGAGTCCTTCGTTTTTATCCAAAGAATTTTCAAAATTCATAGGTTAAAATATGTTTATTGTCCTGTATTTTTGTCCCGTTGCTGCTACTGGCGCTGATATCAAAGAGGATGTGCAAGAATTTATATTGTAATTAGTAGTGCAAAACTTACTTCGAACAAAATTGTCAACTGCATCGTCAAGCGTATCTTCAGCCTGCTGCAATGAAATAAGAAATCTAATGGTTTACGTATTTGACTCACCCGCCGAATGACAGCCCTGTTGTACTTTCCCAAGTAGTCAGAATCGTCACCGGATTCGCTACTCACAGAATTACATCTCATGTCACTATCTGAATAAGTCTCTTCGATTTCAACAACACGGAACTGCTTCGTGACCACGTGACTTTCAACTTGGGTCACACTAAAAGTTTCAAAGTAAGCATACAAGAGGAGAGGTTGGTTTTCACCTGTGTACAGCCATAGCTTTTATTGTGCGTCTGCCGGCACGCAACGAAAAAGGAGCCTTGTACTGAAATGTTTTGTCACGAGCATTTTTCTTCCACGGATTCGGTTTAGACCCATCGGTGGTGAAATATATCCTGGCATTGGGTGTATCTAAGATAGAAGAATGTGGATTAAATTAGTTCGTGAGACGAGTCGTTTCAGTTTAGAGAAGTATCAGATAAACGCGTTTAACCCTAATGACAGTAACAATCGCATTTT